TGAACACCTGACCTTACGATGAAAGGGGCCTGTGAGGCACGGAGAGGGGAACAGAGAGAGAGCTCTGGATGCCTTCACCGGGTTACTTCGTCTCGGGGTCCACTGAAGGCCCCTCGTGGGTTTCTTTGGGAGACCTCCGCTGGAAACGCCTTTATCAACTCCTCCGGCAGGGATAAGCGATGGCGCTCCCCTGGCCGCGTTGTAAAAAGCCATTTTAATTTTTCTCGTTGTTAACGATTTTGAGCTTGGCACGGAATTTTCTTTGAATCTGAGGCTTCTCTCTAACAAGGACGGCACAGTGATTTTTCAGCGCAAAGCTGGCTGCCACCGTGCACGGGCCTGGAGATGATCGGGAAATAGCAATATCCCCTAATTAAATCTGTTGAATTAAAGTAAAACCAAGAAAGTCACCGTTTTAATTTAGATATTGGCTCTGCCCAGAGAAGCAGCGTTCTGACAGCAGTGGAACAGGGGGCTGGGCTTCACGTAGCTCGTAGATAACGATGGAATTAGTGGCTGTCACGTGCTGGCCACCGTTCAGAGGATTGAACAAATTATAACGGGGCCGGACCCTCCGCCCCGAGCTGCCACGGGGGGGCGTCCCCAGGATGTGAACCCCTGGCAGGGCTCGGTCACGGCCGCGGGACTCAGAATCAGAATAGCGTCCGACACGTAGTAGTTACTGTAACAACGGATATTTGGCGAATTAATCAATGTATCTTTTTATTGCAACACTTCTGAGTTTTGATTACAATTTTACACCTTACACACGGGGGACTGATGCCAGAGGACTTCTAGGCTCGTGATCACGCCATGGCATTAGACGCACAAGCCGCCAATTATTGAAATATTAGGCTGTGAAATCCTTTCTTTAAACAAAGTCTGACTCCAAGTTCAGTGTGCAAATCAGATAGGAGCCAAGACATGTAGGCAGGGGAGGCAGAGCTCACCCGTTTCTGGAGGTTTCTTCCCGGGCCCTGGCCCCCTGAGGACAATGCATTGATTTGCTGATAGGATGCTTCAGGCTTTGGGCATCGCTTAGGGAGCCTCTTCTGGTATTTACTCGGTTTGGCACCTTCACGGCATCTATGTTTGCAGGACACCTGGGTCGGCCTACTCTTCCCCTGCTCTTTAGATTATTGACTCTCTGAACATTTTATGTGACAAAAAGCATCCTAATACTAATACTAATACTAATACTAATACTAATACTAATACTAATACTAATACTAATACTAATATTACGTCCTTGGTAAGGCTGGTTGCTTTGAGCTTTGCACCTGTGATCATAAGTAGAAGGTGTTTTCCGATTTTCCTTCGCTCCTCCCTCTCTGCACCCAAAGCAGCGCTCACGTGGAAGCTCCGGGTGCAGTGCCGGCCGCCGGGGCCCCTGCTGCTCTGTCCGGTGGGTGCCTGAGGCTTCCCTGCACCTTTGCCTTTACAGACGGCCCCTCCCGCACCTGTGCCACCTCCACAGCAGGGGGCGAGGCCACTTGCCGAACCGCCAACACGCGGCCTCGCTTCGGACTTCTGAGCCGGGGCAGTAACATGACCGGGCCCGGAGTCCTTCATCCAGTCCCACGGCTTCCCGGTCTCCATTTCTCAGTCCCGGGGGGATGGGAGATTCCTGAATCACTTTGTTCTCTGCAGCCTTACGCATTCTCTTTTAGGAGGTGACCCGGGTAATTTCACTTGAGATACTTTTGTTTGTGTCATACAATGGCCATATTTTCAGGACATCAGAAGCGTTTTATTTTGTGATTTAAAAAAAAAATTTTTTTTTTAAGGAAAGGAGCGTGAAGGAGTGTGTTCTACCCAAACCTGAATGTTTCACGCTTAGAGATTTCTTTAGACGTGGTCTGCAAACGCCTAAAAAGAACAGCAGGCAATATACTGTGTCGAGAAGCAACCAGAGGTCAAAGCAGGGA